TTTTATAATACTAGTTTAAAAACGCACTTCAGAGATTGCAGTGTTTGAAGATGTAGTTTCTCAGGAGGCAACAGTACTGTTGACTTCTCCTTTCCACTGGACACCAACTATTTAAGTGATTTGCATACAAAGCAGAGCTTGCAACATGATAGCTATCATAAAGGGTGTTTTTTTTACTTTTCATATAATACAGTAGTCACACAATGAGGCAGTTCATATTTGTCTCAGTGAATCATTCATTTTTGACAGACACCTGTACAAAATACTTGAACTAAAGCCAGCTAAATTTTTCTGTTATCTTGCATGTTTTATGAATCTATTCACATCTAAATGCAGCACTTTTCTTTTGCAATGAGACATTTGTTTTTATTCTAAAATATCTCAATTACTTTCAATAAAGCTGGAAATTATGTTCCTTAAAATAATTAAACAAATAAGGCACCAATGTTTTTGTAAGATATTTACATCTTTTAAGGACATTCGGTAGACTGATTCCCCATATTTATATTTATATTGAAACAAACTGTGATAAAGGGAATTATATTATATAACAAAGGGCAAGGTCACCAGAGTTCAACTATGTTTAGCTCCGCTGTCGACAACAATGCAACTCCGAATGCTTCTAAATTTTGATATGCAAGTACCTTGGGTGGTTCTTCCCCAGATTTGGTCATTTTGTCTCAAAATATCAAAATTTATATTTTCGACTTCTCGTTAAAAACTGCAAGTGATTGATTTGATAGTATACATATAGGTACTACAGGTAGAGCTCAGGTTTGATATCTTCAGTTCTTTAATTGAAATGTGCATTGCTAACAGCGGAGCTATCCCGACGGACTGCTTGTTTGTTTCTCATGGTCCTTATTAATATATCATGTACATAAACATAGCTCTCTAATTAGGAAGTATTTTCATAAAAAGCTAATTACTGTGACAAAGTCTGGCACATGAATTTGGTTTTGTCAAATTGTATCATCACCAGTTATTTACAAAATTGATTGTCAATAAACAATTGTATCTGTGTCAGTTTTCCATGTACACAAGTTGTTGTTGTTGTCATAAGCATGGTTTATTTTCACAAAATTTGATTTCACATGACCATTGCCCTTCAACCTTTTCACTACCAGTTCCCTCTTTTCATCACAAATTCACAATATATTCTCATTTATAGTCTGCACTTTCCTTCTGAAGATTTGGACAAAAATAGCCAATTTTTTTAGTGAAAACTGAAAATCTACTCAAATTTTGTCTGTTGGCTCCAAAATTAGGGTTACGTTCATTTCCAGAAATATTGAATAATATAAGAAAAAATTACAGAAAATCTGGTGGTGAAAAGGTTAATCTGTGCAAGTTCAGGACTTGAATATCTAAATAATTTTACTGTTACAGACAATTTCTTGCAATACCCAAAGGGCCATACAATGAAGAACACGCCTTGGGATTGCTGGATTTCCAGATGAAGGAATTGGATAATTACAGAGAAGCAATGAAGAAAATGGGTAAAGATATACTTCAACTTCGAGAAGAAATTGCTAGATTGGAAGGAGAAAATAGTCAGCTACGAAGACAGCTGAACATGCATGACGATTCCACTAAAGCAATGCTATACTCAGCGGAAATAGATTCCTTGAATCGAGCTGAACTAATGGAAAGATTCTGTAAGTTGCAAAATAGTTTTTTGGTTTCATGAAGCATGAAGATGGCAACCGACTACTGTGACCGAAAT